TTTATGACTGTTTTTTGTGACAAACATGTATGTGTTCCGATCACTCTATCACAGAAAAATAAGAGTTGTAGAACTTATTGAAAACTCAAGACAGCCATAACATTATGTTTTTTACAAGTGTATGTAAACTTTTGACCACAACTGTATAAGGCTGATGACATGTTTGTGTCTTGTTATGACTGAACATTTGTACACATTTCAGGGCTGCACAACGTTCAGGTCAGGACTCTGCATCTGCGTTGTTCGTCAGATGAGAGGGAACGTGTTCAGACGTTCGTCTTAGCTGAATGTGCATCAGCCACGTGTTTGAAGATTAGTAGATATGCTTTTATTATATTATTATTTGAAGAATTAGAAAATTTTCTGTGATTTTTTACAAAACATGGCAATTGTTTCCCTGTTTTTCAATGCAGGTGAAATAACAGATGTTTTTTACATTATCTAATTATTTCAGCCCCGTAGCGATTGTTTTCAATATAAGCAGGTGCAAAATTACAAAATTGCTTTTATAGCTAACCTGCTCACATGTATAACTTAAAATGTAAGCACAAGCATTAGAAATTTATGTTCACCATCCCCGTTTTACATTATAAGATCTATTTCACTGCCTTTTATTTTAGCTCATTACAATATAAAATAAAATTTTAACAAAATAAAACATCTGGTTGTAGTTAACCTAGTGCTGTTGATCAATTAATTTAATACCTGTGTGTTTTTTCCCCTTTGTAACAAACTATCTTTATTCAAGTGTGTTTTCTGTGAGCCTAGCCCAGATTTGACCCTGCCAGCACTGCAGTATTTGCCATAACTGAGATACCTTCATGTTTGCTTCATGGAGGAATAAAAAGCCCTGTTGAGAAACCCATGAAAGAAATGGGTTAGTAAATGCTGAATTGAAACCACATTTGTTGTTTCGTGGCGTGTTGCCTTTGTTGTTTCATCCTCACAGTCTTTCAGTTCTTCTTTTTCAAAAAATGTAGTGCCTTAGGTTTTATGTGTTGTGTGAGAATTGAGCCATTGTTCTGATAGAGCTGGTTACAGGAATTAGTACGCCGACCAGGTCTCGACCAATTTTCTGCCTGTCAGCAAAAAAGGTTGCGAGTCGAGGCTAAGTGATGAAACGGAAATAGAGACAGCTGGACATGAGACGAATTCCACGTCGCCTTTAACGTGATTTTCTTTGTTTCTGTTTCAGTGCGCGGCTTCGAGACGGAGGAACAGTTTGAGAGCTACGTGAAGAATGACACCACGTCAAACGACATGCTGGCAGCTGTGGTGTTTGAGCACCCCTTCACTCACCATGATGAACCCCTGCCCCTGAAGGTAAAGGGCAGCGAACACGCTGTCACACAGAGTGGAAGGTGTGTGGTTTCTGCATCTCGACGTTAGGGCAAAAATTCTTTTCCACATCCCAAGTGAGGGGATAAACTCGCAACACTCGTTTGGGCACTTCTGTTTGTTTCCTCAAATCTTGTGGGTTTACTTGTTTAGAGCCTTCAGCCTGAATAGAATGGAACATTGTAGCTATTTGAGTTGGCTTTTATGAAAATTACAAAAGATTGTTGTCACATAAAGTCACATTTCCTACATCTAGACTTCTAGGGCCATTTTGAGAGTGTAAAAAACAGAATCTAGCTTTCCCAATGACATGTATACTGTAGAATATAAGTTATTGTTTGAGCTTTCCACTCCATTACCTGTGTGTGAGAACCACAATGTTTATTGTTGGGTTCAAAAGGGTAAAAAAGTGATAAAATCAACGTAAGCTAACAGCATCAAGCATTAACGAGTGTGGACTGTGACCGGCTAATTTTTGGAATTTTTAATATTTTGTGGCGGGCTAATAAACACAGGAAACACTACACAGATTTGCTCCCATCACATTTAAAATAAGAAAATGATCCCGACTGTCTGTCCAGCAGTCAGAATGGAGACTCGAACTAAACACCAAGTGATAACATATACAGTAAATACACGTTGCCGTTGTAAAAACGTTCAAATCAATTTAAATTTACGTTCATGAAACTAGAAATAAAGACCAATGTAGTATTACGTCTAAAAACAAATATATTACTTACTTGCCTGTAATCAGAGTTTTGTTTGTTAGTTTTTGTGTCCTCACCCAGACACTGTTGCTTTGGTTGAAAGTGTCTAAAGACTTTAAGGATTGGAGTTTATCCAAAGTGTCTGCACTTATTTTTGTGAATTAAATAATTTACAATGTTGATGTGCCTGACTGTCAGTTAGAGCTGCCACAAACGATTATTTTTATAATCGATTAATCACCTATTATTTTTTTGATTAGTCGACTAATCGGATCATACATTAATTGAATATAAAACATAGAGCTTATTGTGCCAGAATGCAGCTGCTATTATTTAACCATGGTTAGATTTTAGCTATATGCTAACTAAAAATAATTGCTGTGGAAGGCAAGTTCTGCCTTGTAGATATTGCACAGGTTTCTCTTTCATTTTCTTAAAATGATCCCACACTTTTGAGCTCCGTTGCTGGGTAGCCATGATACTAGAGCCTGTCTGTATAATGTCTTGTGACGTCCACGGCCTACCCCAGTTACCACTACTGCACATGTGTGTCAAGGACAGAAAGGCAGATGTGGCAGTGGAAGGTGTCAAAGTTGTTTGGAGAGGAAAAACAAAGTAAAGAACAAAAAAAGAACACGATTAATCAATTATTAAATTAGTCATCGATTATTTTAATAATCGATTAGTCATCGATTAATCGTAGCAGCCCTACTGTCAGTAGCAAGTCTAAGTCCGTATACATTTAGCCTTTATCGTTGTCATATCCCCATAACAGCAAATCTTTACTTTGTGGCTTTTCAATGACAAACTATCTATTGTGTCTCAGTAACGTGATTCAGCCTTTGATGATGTCATAGCTCACAAAAATGTTTAAAAAGCGGACAAACAAAGCCTCTGTAATGCTGCCCAAAAGGCTCACAGGTAACAGAATTTACCAGACCCTGTCACAACAACTAGATTCTTATTGGGCTAGCTTCCTGTCTGCTCTTGTGGGAACTATCTAGAGATGAAATTATCTTCCTGCAAAAAACCTGAACACATGCAACACACAGACACAAGCCAAAACATAATTTTCTGTCTTTGCTGATCCAGGGGCAGAGTGCCCCAGACAGCATATTTTCTACTGTCCTTGTGCTGCTCAGAGCCCTCTGTTATTATAAGATGGCAATTTACAGAGTTGATGCGGTCGTGTTGGCCTCTTGAGTGGAAACCTCCAGCAGGCACTGGAGTGGTTTGCAGCCAAGTGTGAAGAAGCTGGGATAAAGCTCAGCACCTGCAAGTCTTTGAGGCTTCACTGGAGGCCACGGTGCTTTTGTTAACTGTGAAAAGCAAATATTTGTGTCACTCACAGATTAAAATTAAAAGATTATTTCCCCTGAAAATAATCAAGCTATCCACAGTATTCCTGATTTCGCGCCACTATCTATAATTCATAGCGGAAGAAGTTTCTTTCCACTTGGCTGTTGTTTACAATCACAAGGATACACCATCGCTGTTTATCAAAGCATTTTTCATCAAAATTTGGTGTAGATGGCCACATATCAGAGGTGTATATACTGTAAGGATGTTTTAAAAAAGCAGCAAGTGTAATTCTTTATTAGTGGCTCACACGTCACTGCTCATGGACTGGGTAGATGACGTGAAGCTATGTCCCGATGTTTGCTGCTAACTACTACTGACATCAACTACCTTGTCTTTCCCGAAGACGGACACACATGCAAAATCATAAATGTCAACAGTTCTGGAAGTAAAATGTTCATAAACCACTCAGAATTGTAATAATTTTATAAAAGCATAGTCATTAGATGTGCTCTTCCCCCTTATTTTAACCTAAAATTCACTGGGTGCTAGTTTGCTATTAACTTAAAGATGAACTGGAGGGTTTCATACAGCTGCAGTCATTTTAGATAAATGATAAATAAAAGTAAATAAACTGCCTCTAATAACTTTTTAAGCATGTTTTTCATTTAAAGAAACCGGACACTTTTATAGTCCCAGCGGGCTAAGCTCCTCGTCTTTTAATCCTGCCATGATGTAAAATAACATATTTTAGCACGTAATTGAGAAGAGGATTGTTTATTATTCCAGGCTTACTCAGAATTGATACAGTTAAATTAAGCCATTTATATAGTTTTGCCAGCATGCGGCTACTAACCATAGGCAAAATATTTCTTTAAGATTAGCTGCAAATAACATGCTAAACAACCAGGCTAACAGTAGCTAGCACTGATGTAACGGCATTCACCGTAGGATTTCATTTAGTAAAAACAAAGAACTGTACGGTTAAGTAGCGAAACAGGAACAAACCACATTTACACTTTAACTCACCAGGTACAGATTCAGGGTTTTAGTTGATATTGCTGGAAGCCGTCTAACTCACAGTGGTTCAGACAATACGCCTTCAGTAGCCTTAGCCCAGATAGAGCTCTGGATCGGAGTGAAAATCTGTGGGATTTTTGTCGATAAAATGAAAAAAAGCAAGCAAACTCTCTTTGGTGGTTTTTTTTTCAGATTTAAAGCTGCCAGCCATGTTAGTTTACCATCCTCCTTCGTAGTTTGTAGGGCGCTGAACATGACCGTGCCTTTACTACGTCTTGCTCCAGCCAAAATGTTTCTAAAGCGTTTCTGAGTTTTCTTCAATTGTTGTGGCAGTCGACAAATACACAAGATGAACCCAAACTCGTGATTGAACTGCTCAAGCTGCCAGTTAAAGGTAAAACAAACTGGATATATTTTTATCATTCACTAGCTGAATGAATGAATTTCTTGTGCACCGAAATTACAGAACCATTTTTGAGGGCTGTGGGCAGGACTAGCATCTGTCATGACAGCCTACTCACGCGTTTCTAGAAACTTGTGGATAATTTAAGTATTAACTTTGAACAAATAACTGTTTTTTTTTCCATGTTTATTTGGCTCAGTTCAAAGTGAACAAGTGATCACCCAAACTAGTTTGAGACCATTTAAAGTGTCTGTGATATGCTTATCCTTCTAATACAAAAGGCAAAGAAAATGTCTTTATATTATATGTTTGTATTTATATCATATTTTCTTTTGAATTTGGTTAAGCCAAAGTGAAACAGGAAGTGACATCAAAGGGGAACTCATTAAGAAAGGAAAGTTCCCGGTCTTTGTTCATTGAAACAATGTGATATCAACTCTGACTTTTCTTCATCTCTCCGATAGTGACTTAAATAATCTAAGGAAACATCAGATACTTATTTCCAGTTGGTGTTGTCGGTTGTTGTAGCAATGTGCTTCATTCAGACATTCCCCTTTGTAATCACTTCGTTATTTCACATGTGAAAATCTCAACAACTGTTATCAGTGATGTGGTTTATCTTTTTTTTTTCTGTTTTTTTTTTTTGCAATATGATGTCAATGTCAGATGCAAAAATGCATTCACACTGATTACAAAAAATTGATGTCGCACATAGGAAATGTTTTAAAATTCACTCAGCTTTAAACTTTGTTCGGCTTTGCCCTGATCTGCAGGTGAGATACCACCTTCGGTTCTCCTTCACGCCACGCAACGCTCCACCCAAAGAAAAGTCCGAGCTGAACCCGAACAATGACTTCGACTGGCACACGCTCAGCCTCTTTCCCCTGTTTCAACTGCCGGGTCCGAGGGAGCAGTTTGACAAGCAGGGTGGTACGCCAGGTGAGATCTGTGTCCAAGATCCGGAACTATTTATTTTACACTTTTTTTAATTTTATTTTTTTTTGGATGATTTTCACTTTCAGAGTAATTAGAAAACATTTGTCAAATTGTCAAAAATAATTTAATTGTCAAAAAAACTTTCTGTTTGAGTCTCTAGTGAAAGCCCACTTAGGCTGTGTTCTCATGACAACCACACATCTGCACATCTTTTGCATTAAAGGTGTTGTCTAGTTTTTTGACAGGGTAGATGGCATTTCTTTGACAACGTTAGTGGATGATATGTGAGGTGTCAAAAACTAATCAGGATGCACCCACTGCTTTTGATTTTTTTCTTTTGCACCAACCTCCTGTTGTGTAAATTGTCATTTAACTATAAAATGTGCACTAAATCCTTACTTTAAACTATTATTTTTTAAGGTTATTACCGAGAAGGATTTCTTGCCGTCCAGTACGCGGTGGACCGAGCCATCATGCTCGCCTACAACCGAACCGCTGCTAATCATCTGCTTAGTCAGACTAAAGTGGTCCTGTCCCGGTTTCCTTACCCTCCTTTCATCTATGACGTGTTCATCCTGGCCATTCAGAACCAGCTGCCTCTTCTCCTGGTGCTCAGCTTCACCTATACCTCCCTCAACATCGCTCGAGCCGTGGTGCAGGAGAAGGAACGGAAGCTCAAGGTGTGTTTGCAAACCTCTGGGTCTAAATGGGTCTGAAATTGTGTTCGTCTGTCAAGCTAATGTTTTTGCCTTGTTTTTCTATTTTTCAGGAGTACATGAGGATGATGGGCCTCAGTAACTGGCTCCACTGGAGCGCTTGGTTCCTGATGTTTTTCCTCTTCCTTTCGATTTCAGTTGTGTTTGTCACCCTGCTCCTCTGTATCCAGGTGAGTTGGTGTTGATTACTTCTAAATTCACCAGCTTGTGGTTGTTTTTAAACACTTTTTTTAGGTATTAAGAGATGACACAAGCCTATTTGCTCTGTTATATTTGTGAATGTGTTGGTGAATAAACAGCCGTGTTTTGCTACAATAAAAAAAGATCTTACTTCTACTTTTATTGCCAAACATTTTTAACATCATAAGCCAAAACACACAGGTGGTAATGTTTTACCTATGTCTTTGTCTCTGTTAGCAAAATATCTTTTGGACCATTGAATCACATTTAAAGGGGACTTATCATGCAAAATCCACTTTTTTAGCCATTAAAAGCATTTTGTTGTGTACTTGGACTCTCTAGGAGCAAAAAAGTTTAATTTAGTTTATCCCGGTGATGTGTAGATACAGTGGGGAAAATAAGTATTTAGTCAGTCACCAATTGTGCAAGTTCTCCCACTTAAAAAGATGAGAGAGGCCTGTAATTGACATCATAGGTAG